CAAGACTCGAATAATTAATTTAACTGTAAGCGCTTTGTGCCTTTTTAATGCTTCTTCAGACAGTTACAAAATGAAAAACAAATTGCTTAGTAACATTCATAACCACGACGTCAATTATCAACTTGTGATAAGTACTATATACATGTAGGACAAACCAGCAAACTGAACACACGTGTACGAGTCCATTAACAACAAATTCCGGACCCTGACATAAGAAATACGCCATGCAGTGAGCACTTTGCTATCTGTACGAAAGGCAATTTTAAAATATTTCCATTTTATAAAATGTTTGTGAAACATCTAGAATAGCAAAGGAGGACTACTTTGTAAAATTATTTAATCCAAATCTTAACAGAAAATAATTGCTTCAAAGTTTACTTCATTTATCTCTTGTGTTTGAATTATAAGGCATATTATAATGCTACCCTTTAACGTTACTATGACGTCACAATGGACAATAATTGACGTCGTGGTTATGAATGTTACTAAGCAATTGGTTATTCACCGAAGAGCCAATAATTTAAATCTAGTTACAAGGTGGTATTTGATTGGATTAAAAAATTACTTTATATCGTATAAATTGGGTTGCCTACGTCACAATGACTTGCGTCAAAAACGTATCGATCCGATTTGAAGTAATTTTTTAAGGCCAATCATCTTTTTTTCTTACACTAAATGAATGAAAATTAAAAATTAAATTATAAAGAATGAAATTTTAGCTACATGTACCCAAATCATACGGTATAAAGTGGGTATAAACCGCTTCGCAGTTTACAAAGCGTAAACTGCCCCAACCCACTTTATTAGCTGTTAAATTCATTCCTTAATTAAAAGGCAGAAAGCGCTTATATTAAAGAAAAAGATTATTCGAGTCTTGTGAATCTTGAATTTTTTTCCATTGAATACATATGATTTAATTTTGGCATTTTTAGCGAGGGTGTTGAGATCGCTAAAATTAAATATCGCTAACAATATTTATAATTTGAAATGATTTCCGGGAGCGCCAACTGCAATTTTTAATTAGTTAAAACCAAATAATTTAATTTTGTTTGTATTCTAGCCTCTGATTGGTTAATATCCAAAAAGGAACACAAATTATTTCTGTATAACCTGGTTTGGTATGGGGACACCCCCCCCCCCCCCCCGACAACCAGCTGAATCATCTGTATGCATACAATCCTCTCATTTCCAGTCCTCGGGATTCATGGAAAATTCCAGATTTAATAAATATACCTTTAACTTCAAACAATAATTCGATCTTACCACATGTAAACAAGCTGCTAGGCCTATGTATCAGTTTTTACCTCCCCTCGCTTCCCATCACTTCCGTTACTACGGTTGTATTATTGAGCGGCAAATTTGAACTAATAAAAGGAAGCAACGAAATTTTACACCCATAGTAATTTAATGATTTTAAAATTAAATTATAAGGAATGACTCTAATTCTTGGCCAAATTATTCGAGTATAACCTGGTTTGGGTCAGTTTACGCTGTTTTATAATCCGCTTCGCGGATTATAAAGCGTAAACTGACCCAAACCAGGTTATACTCGAATAATTTGGCCAAGAATTAGAGTCATTCCTAAAATAATTTGTGTTCCTTTTTGGATATTAACCAATCAGAGGCTAGAATACAAACAAAATTAAACTATATCCGTATAAACACGGGTTCCTCGCGTCATAAACGTTCGACGTAATTTCTCAGTGACGTCATAAAGGGTCGACGCGCAATCAATGGATCAAATACGTGCCGTTGAGTTTGAAAAATAAAACATTTCACGCGTTAAAGATTGTAATCAGGAAAATATAAAATATGAATAAGTCATAAATGTAAATATAAGTAATAATGTATCATTTTTAAACATCTATCTGGATATAAATACGGGTTGGTACGAGATCAAATTTACCATAAAGCCCTTCGGGCTTTATGGAATTTGATCTCGTGACCAACCCGTATTTATATCCCGATAGATGTTTAAAAATGATATATTATTTCTTAAATAAAAATAAAAGTCCCTGTTGTTGCTTTTATTTTGAAATTTCCCGCCGATCGTCATTGCAAGTGCACTAAGAAAATAAAATAATGTGCAAATAAGTCGGCAACTCTGATTAGCTGCATTATTGAAAGCCATTATAATCATCGAATCAATTTACGTTTGTTATCAACTGTTTCGGGAGTGTATAAACGTGCAAATATGAATGCAAAAATGTCAAGTTTTACAAAAGTCCTTATACACGATAGTTTTTCCAAGTCAACCATAGCTAACAGGAAAATAAATTAGAGTATGTGCGACGACGAAGTTAAGTTGGAGTTAAAAAGAAATTAAAGAAATGATCAGCATAATTTTACTAAAGGATTATGTTGACAGAACTGTCACTTTCGCTGTGGGTACCATACATAGTAGTTCTCTTTTACAATTTTTATACCTTTGATGAACGTGATAAAAGATTAATGGAAATCGAAAATAGACGTTCGAATGTTGTGAAGAATAAAATGTGGCGTATCTAACTTGCATGTATATCCAAGAAACGTTTTCAAACTTGCAACATTTTAAAAAGAATATATGCAGCACTTTACAGACTGGAAATTCATAAGTATTTTATTGTGTGTTAAATAGTTTTAGAATAGATATAAACAGACACTGCAAACAAAACGGTATTTAAAGTGTTAATACTTTCAAGCTTTCAGAAGTTTTTAATATGCATAAACACATGCTGTATTGTAAAATACAGGTTTAAAACATGATTCTGTGTTTTATATTATATTGAGATTCTCTTTATAAAACTATATTTTCCATTTTTGATTTGTTGGTTCATAGTTTTTTAGTACTTTGAGCATAGTGAGTTTCTCTTTATAAACTTTTTTTCGTTGGTCATCTTGTTGTGGTCATGATGAATATTTTGATAAGAAATTCCTTAACAGATTTCCCCCATTTCTCATAAGGGACGATTAAGGGCTCAAGAGTCTACTTTAATCTTTGTGTTCCCGTTATCATATTTTAAGTTCCACACCATAAGGCAATTTTCATCGAATAATTGAAAATTTAAAAATTAGACACCTTTTCCAATTTTATTTTTATTTTTTTTGGTCGACTGCGTTAAATATGGAATTTTATTTTTATTTATCCCCCCCCCCGACCCAATTAAAAAAAAAATTCCCGTAGATCATTTAAAAAAAAAATGTAGGCTTAAAAGGTTACCCTTATTTTTCTATGCACCATAAAATCGCTAAAATTAAATGCTGATATTAAAGGACAAATCGCTAAATTTGCGTCTCGCTAAAATTTCCATTTATACGGTATATATATATGTTTTTTGGTTTTTTTTTTACTAAAAAACCCCAACAACAACACTGTATATCCTAAGTGTCGGATCTTTTAAATAGATACAAGGTCAATGGTGGAAATTTATATAAAGCGCAAAAAAGAGCAACGACACGAACAACAGCTGTGGCATTCCATAACATAAAGTGGACTTAATGATATAAATTTTGTACTACATATTATATAAAGTGGATTTACTATGATGTATATTTTGTACCCTTAAGACAGATGTCGCGTTCCATGCTTTTCTATACAACGCCCCGTCCCGAAAATTTGAAAATTTCTAAGGGTACAAATTATGCATCATAGTGTCAATTTTACATAACATCAAGTCTATCCTTTATATCATTGAGTTCACTTTATATAATATGTAGTACAGAATTTATATCATTAAGTCCACTTTATATCATAGGCCTATACAGTACACAATTTATATAATTAAGTCCACTTTATTTAATATGTAGTACAGAATTTATATCATTAAGTTCACTTTATATAATGTAGTACAGCAGCTTTAACATGCTGTCAAATTAAAATACTACATAGTCGGTTGCATATAAGAACTCCATTCAGAGTAGAATCAAGGATGTGAAAGATGCGCGAGGGAGACATAGGAGATTTTGATTTTCACTTGGGGGGGGGGGTACCGTCATATGAGATTCAATAACTCATGAATTATGAGTCAAAATCAAATGAGATTTTGGTTACTTGTTGACTGATGTTAGATTACAATACTGGAAAATAAGCTTGAAAAAATAACATTAAATCACATCAAAATTTTACCCTGCGTTTCTTTTTTCCTTTCAGTATTATTATAAAGACAGCATACTTTAAACTTTTGCACTACATGCTATACAAAATTGACTCAATCGAACATAGTTTTGACAATATGCGTTATATTTTTGACTGCATGTTATAAGCATCCGACTATGTAGTACATATTGATTTGTCAGCAGAGTAAAGCTTCTGTACTACATATTATATAAAGTGGACTTAACGATATAAAGGATAGACTTAATGTAATATGCATCCGACTATGTAGTATTTTAAACTGACAGGATACTAATCTGTACTACATATTATATAAAGTGGACTTAATGATATAAAGGATATAGACTTAATGTAATGTAAAATTGACACTATGATGCATATTTTGTACCCTTAAGACAGCTGTGGCGTTCCATAAAGATTGAAATATATTTCGATTGCAAGATTTCAGACTTTTTGAACTATGCAAAATAATATTTCTTGTACAGGTGTATTTTAGGCAGTTGTCGTTTTTATGCTACAAAATGTACGATCTGTGAAGCATGAAATGGCTGACACCCCCTCCCCCTTCCCCCGAAAGCTAGATAAAAAAAATAATATCAAAGATTAACCAAGTTCATTTCGTGGCCATGATTTGTAAATCATACCATATTTATCTAATCAAGACCTTTGATGAGTAAACCGCCTAGAAAATGTATTTTTCAAAACGACGTAAATGAAATACAGCTGTACACAAATTATAAGGAGTGGCCAGGTAAGGAAGAATATTATTCGAGTATAAAATTCTACCAGCCGCTCTGACTGTCCAAAATTATGACACATGGGAATAATTAATTTGTTAGCGGCGTTTGTCATTGCATAATCCATGAATTAATTAAACAGACATATAAAACCAAGAAAAAAAAGAAAACAACGCACTTCATTTATAAAAATGCCCATCAGAAATATTCTCCGCTGTTTGCTTTTGCTGTGTTTTCTGCATTTATCCTATCAAGGTCCCATAGAAGTCGAAATTAAGAACACCATTGATGAAGTGTATGTAAATTGCAGATCAAACAAAAATCCTGGACTTGTTGTAGCAGTTGTTAAAGATGGTCAGGAAGTCATGACGGAGTCTTTCGGTGTCAAGGACAAAATTTCTCTGGAGCCCGTTACCAAGGATACGCTTTTTGGACTGGGGGGCCTTTCCGCTTTATTTGCCAATGTTCTCTTTGCCAAGAAGAGTGCTGCTTTTGATGCGTAAGTAAAGAGGACAAATTCATAAGTTATTATACTATTTCTTTTACATTCTTATGTGCGATCTTCCTATTCCTGTACATATTTTTACACAGCTGGTAAAATGTAAATTTATGAAGTGAATATGACAATAGAGTGAGTCATCTAAGTAGCGATAAATAAAATAAGCAATTTCTTTTTTTAATACAAACTTTAAATCAAATGTCTTTCGCCTTGCTGCATTCAGTTGATATCTTGAACTTGGGGGGGTGGGGGGGAGGGGTCTACTATGTTAATTATAATGTGTCTTCAAGCTAAAACAGGGGTTGCAAAAATATAGATGCACCTTTTCCAATTACCTTATTTTCACATCAGTAGTCTATACTTCATTGTGCATAGTTTGCATCTAGATTTAAATGAAATAGAGCAGTTTTGATTTATTGAATTTTCGCTTTTGTGAAATAATCTGCGTTCTTGCATACATGCATTTACCATGTATTTCGAATTCTCTTTCTTATATACAATTACAGTCGGCATAAATCGTTTTAACTTGCATAAAGAAATCATTACTATTCAGAATAAACGAAGACACAACTCTAAGAAATCTCTTCGGGAATAACAAAATCTTTAAGAAATCCAAGCTGCGTTCCAGATACGCAACAACACTGGATATAATGGCACATCGGCTGGGGATAAGAAACACTCCCTATCTCTTCTTAGACGAGACCGTAACTAGAGGAGGGCCTGTTATCGAGTAAGTATTAACACGTTACATTATTATTCTATTGCGAACTTTTCGCTTCTTTTTGGATGTAAGACATTTTTTTTTTAATATTTCGACGACTTTCGCTTCTTTCTTCAATACATTTATTAAAAAAATATTAGTTGTTCGTTGAAATCTGTTTTACGTTGCACATGCACTTTTCGACTTGTTTTAAATTTTCGTTTACTAATGTGTACTGTAACAAGACTACTTTATAGTTACGTAAAGTATTTGATCATTTTCTCTTCAGTCGAATTGCTAATATGAGAGCTAGGGGACGGTTTAGGGACAGCATGTTCTATAATGAGGTGTTATACTCTATTCTCACCACCATTGGCGAGAGACTTGGAAGTGATGCTTGGGAACGTCTGGTAGATGTAGAAATTTACCAGCCTTTGGGAATGAACACAGCAAATTTTACAACCATAGTGTCTCCCTCAACGACGGATATTGCTCAGGCTTATAAAGATGATGAAGGCACACTTTATCCAGTGCCACACGAATTTTTAAAGTAAGATTTTTGTTTGAATTATATATACATTCCATCTTTCCCCCATCGGTACCATTGTGTCCAGGCCTCTAAGTGGGCTCTAAAAAATTTAGTCGCCAAAGCAAAATTTTAGTCGCCAGGCAATTTTTCTAAGGCACCAACTTTAAAAGTTAATAGAATATAGATACCCATGACGTGCATAAGAAAAGACGACATGTCCATTGCTAAAAATAATTTCCTCTTCTTTTAAATTTCTTTTCGCTTTTTCAGAAAAATTGTTAAAAATGTGAAAATTCCGGAATTCGACGATCGCCAAGTCGATCGTTTTAAAATGGTCGCCAATTTGGCGACTTATGGAAAAATTTTAGGCGCCAATCAAAAATTTTAGGCGCCATGGCGACTAAATTAGTCGCCAATTAGAGCCCTGGTGTCCATTGCAAACTGATTTTCTGCAGAATAAGCCAATGTGGATCAAGTTTGGGCGCTCCTTCTTCAGCGACTCATCAAATCTTATATGATTACGGTCTCAAATTAATGAATTTTCAGGAGGAACCACGTGATAAGGAAGTATTCCGTTGCTAGGGCCTTCAGCTTTTTTTTTTTTAACTGTGACTCACTAATATGTCATTACAAATTGCAATACTAAGGACAAGATTTCTCCCATTATCACGTTTACTGGGCACCGAGAAAGAACATAATCTGTAAAATTGTCTCCCTTCCTTCACGAAAACGATTCATTCACTTCCTAAATGCATGCGCGAATCTAGAGGGGGTGGGGGTGGGGGTTCGGAACCCCCCCCCCCCCTGGAATTAGCAGTTATAAAAAGTATATACTGAAGCAAATAAAGAATGACTTTGGACCCCCCTAGACAACTGTGGACTTCACCATCACCACCACGAAATAGGTGTTTTTCATGTTTGTGAAATGGATTTTCCCTTTTTTTTTTTTTTTTTTTGCTTGTCAATAATACTTTTGGAAAGGGAAATTAGTAGTTTTTATTTATTTATTTATTTATTTTTTGCAAGTCATGAAATTTTGGGGTTAGATTTTTTTTTGACTGGGATGGACCCCCCTCCCTCCCCTGGAAAAAATCCTGGATCCGCGTGTGAAATGAACTTTTGTACTTTGTCGGCATAAACTTTGTATATATCATATATTTATGTGAAGGATTTCCCAAAATTTTCATAAAAATTTATAATCCTTCTTTGCAATTTATGAATTTTGTAAGTTCATTCAGGTCTAGCTTTCGTTCATTAATACAAGGATATGTCGGTCAGCCAGAGGTTGCTTAAAAAATCACAACTTCATGGATCTAAATAACAGCTATTTACCTTTTTATACAATACAAGTTTTAGCATTTTATGGTCAATGAAATGCAAATTTGAAGACATGATATTAAGTGACGCCAGACAGAGTAAACATATTTTTACCAACTTTAAAATATCAGTGGTTAAGGAATGTTAATAGGTGTTAAAAGATCATCTACTGTATTGCACTGTGTCTCGTGCATAAAGTGTATCATAACGCATTATTCAATTTGACACAGTAATGCAAAATTATTTTTCCATCCTTTAATTAAAGTAAAAAAACCCCAAACTTTTCACAATTTCATATAATTGTAAACCAACAGAGCATACAAATTCTATTTTTTTTTTCAATTTCAGGAAGTGGTCGAGATTGTGTGCTACTACATGCGTAATGTCTAGTGTAAAAGACATGGCAAAATTCATGAAATTCCTTCTCGGAAACGGAACAATACCAGGCACAAGCGAGATTTTGCTTTCCAAGAAGAGTCACGAAGATCTTTTTGATGCCTACAATCGTCTTCAAAACCCTAGCATTGAGGATTATTTCTTAACAATTAGAGGTCTCCCGGTCTCTAGAACACATTTTGCCTACGCCCAAGGAATAAAAAAAGGAATCTACAATAGTAAGAGAGTTTCATTTCCAGAATATTTACATTAATTTGCTATTTTCAAGGGCTGATCCTTGTATTGGTGGGGAGGGGGTAGGGGTGGATGCGGCGCGGGAACATGGATAGGAATTTGATTATTCAAAAAAGTCACAAAGCGATTTACTTTGACGACAGGTAATTTAGGATCGTTAAATGCTCTGGGAATCTTTAAGTAAATAGATGTTAAATCCTGCATTCTAGACATTTCTTAATAAAACATAATAATCTTCAGTTTCTGACCAAAAAAAAAAAAATAAATCTCGAACCACGAGAACCAGTGAAAAGAAATACATGTATTCTGATTCATAATATCTTTAAGAATAAAATCATGCTCTTTTTCTTCTTCTTTTTTTAATCCAGATTGAAAACCTCAGCTATACTGCCTCTTTTGAAGTTCAATGTTGCCCCCTTTACTGCACCCATATAAAAACATTTTCTTGGAAGAATGGTTCAATATAATTTTGATTTTCAAAAATTTTTGGTCAGTGAATAAGCGCTTCTAATCGCAGAATTCAAAATTAAAAATAAACATAGCATTATATATGTTTAAAAGTGCCTTGAAACTTATAACTATGTGAGAGTAAGTCATTAAAAAATGAGAGAGACACATCCATCAGAGAAGATACTCATAATTTTTGAAATAGCACCTAGGTTATTTCAACCCTTGGAAAATAAAGAAGGATAACTCTTCCATTCGGAACTTTTTTTTAAATGCATGACAGCATCTGACATTTTCCATTTATACATATATTTTCAGTTTGTATATTTCATTTTGTTAACATATTTAAGCACATTCTAATTGTAGACTACCATAGAATATCATCCGTCTGTTTTCAAGAAATGAATTTTTTCCAGTTTTTTTTTTTTTTTTGCTTATTTTTCGTTGAAAATTTAAAAACTATTAAAACTTATTTCTTATCATTTTTATATCAACTCTTTATTAGTAAACTCTTGCCTGCCAATAATATTAAGCTTTTGAAAAAAGAATTATAAAAGAAAAATGTCATTTATGTATTTATGTATTTCTCATTAAAATCATAAAAAATATTAAAATTACGATTTAACATACTGAAAGGTGGGGGTATTTCAAATCTTACTAATTTAAGTAAATAAATATGTAGGAGAAGTTTCGTCTGGTATCCCATACCACCTTAATTTTTATCAAGATACATGTATTTTCTAAGATCGAAAAATTGTCAGAAAGGACACTTTTTAAAGGACAATTTTTCTTGACACGTTCGATATTGTCAAAATTTTACACAACACATGGTCTCTAATTTAGCTTTTACTAAACAGTTCTAATAGATTTACCATGCAATTATATAAAGTTATAATTATAATCTAAGTCCTCCGACAACTTAATACAAACGGGGAGTAACTCTAAAACTTAGTGAGCGTGATCGATTCAACACATTTCCAATTGACTTTTGATTTAAAAAAAAATGACCAAAATAAAAAAAAAACTTTGAGACTTTGAGAGGGGCGGGCGGGGCCATAGGGAGTTATAGGGAGTACATAAAATTTTTATTGCAAAAGTTCAAAGCTTCCTGAGAAATCGCCCGAAAACGAAAGTATCACAAACAGACAGAATGTATGAATTCATGACCTTGAGTCCTTGACCTTTTGACCTCAAAATCAATAGAGGTCTCCATAGGGAGTTGTGGTATAAAATTTCACTACAAAACTCAAAGGCTTCTCGAGATATCGCCTGGAAACGAAAGTGTTACAAATAGACAGAATGTATGAATTTATGTCCTTGACCTTTGATCTTTTGACCTCAAAATCAACAGGGGTCTTCTTTAGGCGTTACGGACAGACAGAAATACAAACAGACGGACAGACAGACCCAAATTAATATCCTCCACTTTCAGTGATAAAAAATGGCATCAGTGAAAAATCTTTGGCTTTAAAAAGTTATATATTCTTGGCTTTTTGTCATTACAGAGTACATTATTTATATGTAAATAGATATGAATGGAAAATATCTTAAATAATTTGATTTATTAGCATTTTAGTGGAGAAAATGGGTACCCTATCTGAGAAGTTCCATTCATTTATTTTTTTTATACCCATAGTTTGTCAGTCGGATTAAAACGATATATAGGTCTGTGATAATTGTAATCGTTTTATGAAGTCGATCAATAGATATATTGACTTTACACAGATAAGCATATCGACTGAGTATGAAGTGCAAAGTCGATATAATTTTCTGTGAATACATTCTGTGGATACATTACGATATTTTTTCCGATGTAATTTTAGAAAAAGTCTTTTAGCCAATCAAAATCCAACTAGGTATTTTACCAAAGACGAGAATGTAGCAGTTGGGGTGAAACGAATTTTCCGGTCGGCGAGCAAAGTTTGGACGCGGTTTACTGACATAAAAGATAGTAAAGACACGCATGCCATATACATGTATGTTTCTGTAGATAAATCATCGTAGAAGAGAACGGTAATAAACAGCTTGCCAATGTATTTTCTCTGAACTGCTGAAAGTGTAAATGACTATGATTCTTGGGAGGAGGTCACTGCATGTAACTTGGAGTTATAAATCGTGCGTTATTATTGTACTATAGGATAAAAATTTACTACAGAATCAAGTGCCTGTGCAATCGCCCTTGCAAATGTCAGTCGTAAATTAACTCTACGATGTGAACACTATTCACGTGAAAAAGTGTCTTCATTCCTTCACACACACACACACACACACACACACACTATTTCTTTTAAAGTGAGGGTGTACAACAGGTCTGTCCTCCCCGTTAAATCCACGCCCGAGTTAAGCTTTCCAGTTTAAGAAATCAATTTACATTCGGAGATACAATGTGCATAAGTTGATTGATAATAGGATAAATGTGTTATTATCGTGGTATAAAGAAAGGGATTTTATGAATTGTTTTGAATTTATTAAAAAAGAAAACATTCTTGTTTTCAGACGAAAGGATACTTGAAAGTGCTGATGACATGTTTGGATACAATACTTTGTTGACACTGTTTCCTGATCATAATTTGGGCATATTTATAGCGATGACTGGAGAAGATAAAGACGATCTCTTCCGAACAGCTCTTAGTAGTTATATTTCGGATCTTTACCTTGGTAAGCAGGCTTGGTTGAACGCAACTCTTCTATGCAGCTTCCCCGAACCCTTCATGCCTGCTCCACCAGAAAGCACCCCCAAAACACACCCGGAAGTGCCTATCGGCAGAAATCTCGAAGATTTTGTTGGTAACTATACAAGTGATATTTATGGAACAGCAAGCGTAGTTGATGAAAACGGAAATTTAAAATTTATTTATGGCATGGGCGAATTTAATTTGAAAAGAGAAGAAACTGAGTCATTGAAGTTTAATATGTTTCCAACGGGATTGATTGAACATTTGATTCCCGTGGACGATTTGCGGTTCAAAGAGGACCCGAACACACTTCAAATCGAATCGTTGAGAGTAGACAGATTTGATGGCGGTGTGTTTACTAAAGAATCTCCACCTACGACAACCACCACCACAACAACACAAGCACCAGTCTCGGCTGGTGGCGTAGCAATACCCCTCTAGAAGCTGCGAGGAACTGTTCCTAAAGAAATAAACTGTCTATAGAATAAATTTTGTTTTCTTTTGCCATGCTCTAATTTGAATGATGAATTATTATTGTTGCTGCCTGCGTCTTCATACAACAATTTTATTTCAAGAAAAGCGTCAAATCTTATATGAATATTTATACACATCATGTTTAATTCAACTATAAAAAAGACCTACTGACTTTATGTTGTGTTATTCGTTGTGCTAAGGTATGGAATCCAAAGCATGATGAAAAAAACCAACACAGTATACAAACGTCAATATGTGAAAATTTATTAAGAATTTTATTTCTAAAATATGTTCTTCATACCTTTGCATTATTATTGTTGTTTTCAAACTATGAATTAACACGGTATTTTTCAATTAATTTGTTTCATAGAGACAAACAATTTTCAAATATAGCGGAATCAAAATGCTGACAAAAGTCCAAAAACCGCTTATTCTTATATGAAATACATCATTCTGAAAACTAACGGCGCTTACATTATGTATAAGGTGAGAACTTCCCTAAATAGCATTTTAAAAGTTTCACTTATACCAACAAAAAATGAAAATATAATTTTCATCAGGACTTCCACTTACTAGTATCCGAAAAAGTAACAAGAAAAAAAATCTTAAAAAGCAAAAAGTATTTTTTTTGTTTAGAAGATTTACTTCCGACAGGGGCAGAAAGTACTAACGACGAAAACAAAATACTGAATGCAAATTTACTCTTTATGGTCTAAAACTGTGGCGGTGATGGCGCTGTGGACAGCTGCCGACCCGGTGGCCCCGGCTTCTAGTCCGGTCGATCGTTAAAAGCTCATTGCAACCTTGAGCAAGTTCCTCGACTCTATTCGTGCACCCTCTCAACACAAGTGTTAATAAGGGTAGCTGACACATGAGACAAGCGCTGGCCATGTGGATGTAAAAGCATTAGCGCCAAATATAGGAGCGAATAGTGTGACGTCACGCACACCCTCATGGCGACTGATTCTTTTAGAGATGTTAACGTCAGATTTAAGCGTCTACTATGGCAATTGAGAGGGTAATCAGACCAGAAATCAGGTTAGAAACATCGACTGACATGAATTATACCGCGTGTTGTTGTTAGTTTTATTTGAATAAAGCGCTAGAGCAGAATTCGCCAAAAACGAGTTGCATTCCTGTCGCTTCGCTCGCTACGCTCGCGAAGCTCACTGGTTGTTGTGTTTACGTTGCTTTATGGATAAAACTGCCGACTCCTGTGATTAAAGGTTAATTATACATTAAAGATATTATACATCAGAATGTTCTTTCCCTTTATAAATTACGAGATATACAATTCATTAATGTCTGTCGTTTCTCTCCTCATGGCCACTTCTCGACTATAGTCTCGATCATTCAGACGTATGCCTTTGTTACACAAATCGATTAAACTTTTACTTCATATATTTCCCGGGCGACAATTGATGTCAACATTAATGTTTTTGTTTTTTTGTTTATAATAAGTATAAATCATGCTGTTAATGACTGGTTGTCACAAGTGTGCATGTGTCGTGCGAGGTACAGCGATAGGTAAATTACCGAGAGTCGCAAAATGCGGAGTGATTCGGAATACCCTAGTAATTAACTGTACGGGTCTCCCCGGGGGGGGGGGGGGGTTGTAGACGTCGTACGGGCCAATGTACTTCACGAGCAAGACTAAACACCCTACCTTTAACACTGAAAGTATCATCACTCCAATTATCTGGTTCTGAGGAGAAATATTGACGATGTAAAGTGCAAGTTCTAAGAACCGAAAGTGAATATTTTCAGTACATGAAAAATCGTCTGGAGATATTGATGAAATTGAAATACTTCTTGCCTATAAAACATCTTTTTAATCAGCCCCCATAAATGAGATATAAATGTTTTGCAGGCCCGTAGGAAGCAATTTCAGTTGGGGGGCACAACCATGTATTTTCATTTGGGGGGAGGGCACTATCAAGCAAAAAAAAAAGAGCTATAAGACGTTATTATTTAGGGGGTACAAGCATATGGTAGCTGTGTTTTCTATAGTATTATTGGGGGCACAGCCCCCCACCCCCACCCCCCAATCCCCACCCCGTGCCACCGGGTTCCTACGGCCATGTTGCACTATGAAGAAGGAAAAAATAACTAGAGACTATCTCGTTTAGACTAACGAGTAGGTTTTCGATTCCATTTTCAGAGATGAGATCGAGATATAGAGATAAGATCATATGGATATCATTTAAAATTAAATAATGTCCGACGCATTCATCGACCTAATTCGTACTATTCCATGCGGATATCTGTGAAAATAATCCCTTTTTGGTGACTTCTGGTTTGACCAGAAAGGACGTCGCGTCTGACAAAATAGATGTCGAATGTCTTCAATGACGTTTAATTCATTCAATTCCCCATATCTGCTTCTTGTTAGTTTGAAAAACTTTGCTGCAATAGTGTTTTAAAGCTCTCGATAGTATTTAATTGATTGATTGATTGTTGTTTTTCTTCCTTTTCGAGAATTTTTCACTCATATACCAATGAAAGGTTTCAAATTCAGACTTAGACTTAGGTTCATTGATCAGTAAGGGTTCTTTATCAGGTCAACGCCTACGGTGACACGGGATTTCGTTTCTAAGGTCTCGTCCGAAAGACCAGTGACTTAAACTTCTATTGCCTGGCACTTGGCGAAGGAACATTAATCACCTATGTTTCTGTTTTTAGTTTGACGAATTGTTTTAAGAATGGAACCGATCGGGAAGGAAACGCCCGACCAGAAGGCTAACTCGACCGGTGGAAAGTATTTGAGATATTGAAAATAAACTTTTAACCTCTATAGATTCCTCTTTGTAGGTGCTAGTCCCTTTCCCTTGACATCATATGAATTACCTTATCATTCTACATAACGTTTGTTCTAACGTCAGGATTAATTACTTACAGTTAAAAAGACAGGTACAACATATGTTAAAAATCGAACGTCTATGGTGCAAATCCAGGCAAAAATATATCCTGCAAATTTTTCCTTGTTATTTTACCCTGAAGATTTCAACTTTCTATCTTTACTCGTTTCATAGAAGCTTGGAAGAAATGGCCCTTGATAATTCACAGGCGACGAATTCTTAAAACCGGAAGTGCCGTCAAAAATGCATACAGTTGATTTAATTACAAACAGTCTTGAAATTTTTACGGAAATCCATTGAGGGGTTTTGGAGAAATCATGCGCACAAAAGAAAGGTAAAAAAAGAAGATTTAGAGCAAAGCTCGTTTTAGGGGCCAGGCAATATTTATCAGCAGAGTCGGGTCGGTGCAAAGCATGATGGGACAGGTACTTTTTTGGGGCATCTATAAGGGTGGGACAAGCCGGGTTTTTTTAACAATAGTAATGTAGACGAAAAATCTATATTTTTCTTCTAAAAAAAACTGTATGAACCAAAACTTTTCACTTAAAACAAATTATCATTAGTCATGCATACAATATGTATGGAAATACCTAACTATGGAACCTAATATTAATTTTCTAAATATTCTTATCAGTGTATTTTTAAAATAATAAAGTGAGAGAACACTTCACAGTCTGTCAGTCATATATGAATAGTAATTTACAGCCCTGAAACAAACTCTTAAGTCACAGGTTAATTCTATTTTCAACAATTTAGACCTGACCTTGAGCGTGAAACTGTCTTATGTCTCCTTTAATAACATTTCCAAATTGTCTGGAAATTAAGATATCATTTTAGATTAAGAAAGTAAAGGCAATTACAAGAAAAACAATTCCAAATTTGCCATTTTTCTATTTGAAAATAAAAAAAGTTATGATCAATTAAGAGAACACACCAATATGGATTCGACTGTCCTTAACATGATGAAAGATGCTTTCAATGAAAATTCAGGTCTTTTTACAATATTTCATTTTACAATTTGAAAATATATGCTTTTACAAGAAAAATGATACCAAATTTGCCATATTTCATTGAAAAATAAAAAAAAACTTATGGTCAATTAAGAGAACACACCAGGGATAGACTGACCTCAACATGATGATGATGCTTTCTATGGAAATTCAGGTCTTCTTACAATATTTTATTTAGATTTAGAAAGTACATGCTATTACAAGTAAAACAATACCAATTTTGCCATATTTCAATGAAAAATAAAAAAAAGTTATGGTCACTTAAGAGAACACACCAATATCGAATGACTGACCTTAACATGATGTTGCTATGAAAATTCAGTTTTCTTACACTATCCGGAACTCTAAATCAGAAGCATTGAGAATAAGCATTTAGAAGACACTATAAGAATATATATCTAGTAAATACGCGCAAATACATGTGCTGAAACTGATTTATTAACATTGTACGTAGTGATAACTTTCTTGGTTTTTATTGAAAAAGAAAAATATGCGTATTTTAATATTTCTCTACATTCTGATATCATTAGAAATAAATATGATGACATGCATGCGCAATTTTGATTGGTTAACATTCAGTTTGCTGTATCTTTCTGCTTTTCAGTGAAATTCCTTAAAATCTAAAATGTAGCTCTGTATTATGCGAATCTATGAGATGTTGTTCATTAAAATTATCAAAATCACGTGCATGCACATGCACTGAATTCTGATTAAACTTTTACTCCTTTTGCCATAGGTGCATTATTACCCCTTCCCAATACTTCGGAAAATAAGTTGTATAAGTCTATGATGCAAAGATTTTGCCTACTTTAATGGAGCGTTTGGGGAACACCTGTAACGTCTTCGTTAGAATTAGAACTAGTTATGCTTTTTTCCCCTTATTTCTTCTCCGGTACTTTTTTGTCCGCGGGTGTTCTCGGAAATTGGTCATCCAATTGAGTTGAGACCTTTTTAGGGTCAATAGGCATGTTGTGTAGATGTGCACGTCGAAGATCATTTTGCGCGCACAGTATTCACGTGCAGGCTACGTGTGAAATGACTGATTTAATTGAAAAAGCTTTTACTTTCCCTTTTATTTGAAGAAAATCTTTGAAACTCAGAAATAAATATATATCAATAGTGTACACAAGTTGGTATTGTTTAATAA